CAGGGTTTTACTTTGTTGCAGAGTTTTACTTTGTTTCAGGGTTTTACTTTGTTGCAGAGTTTTACTTTGTCTCAGGGTTTTACTTGTTTCAGGTTTTTACTTTGTTTTAGTATTATACTTGGTTTCAGGGTTTTGCTTGGTTTCAGGATTTTACTTTGTTTCTAGGGTTTTACTTGGTTTATGGCTTTTGCTTTGTTGTTTTACTTTGTTTCAGGGTTTTATTGTTTTAGGGTTTTACTTTGTTTAGGGTTTTACTTGGTTTTAGGGTTTTACTTGGTTTATGGCTTTTGCTTTGTTGTTTTACCTTATTTCAGGATTTTACTTTGTTTTAGGGTTTTACTTTGTTTTAAAGTTTTACTTGGTTTCAGGGTTTTGCTTGGTTTCAGAATTTTGCTTTGTTGTTTTACTTTGTTTTAAAGTTTTACTTGGTTTCAGGGTTTTACTTTGTTTTAGGGTTTTACTTTGTTTATGGTTTTTGCTGTATTGTTTTTCCTTGCTTTAGGGTTTTAATTTTGTTTTGTTTGTCTTGTTTTGTTTTGTTTTGTTTTAAAAATCGGTCCTTCTGTGCATTGTGATTGGTGGATGTTGTTTGTGTCCTCTGATGGCCCATTGTTTAGAGACGAATTCACTGTCTTTAGGGTGAAGGGTCTACTGACCTCCAAGGTCTCACATAGGTACCGCACTTCCAATCCTTCCTCGTCTCCGTCACTTGTGTGTAGGAGGAGGCTGAGCCCCTGTTCGCAGTGAAGTCCACTACGTCCGTTAAGAAGGTCATCAAATTGATGGCCGATGGTATTCCCAGGATACTGGTCTCGCTCGGCTATGTTAAATCAGGTAGGCATACGGTCGGTAGGCCTAAGGTTGTGGGTGTCAACGGTGGGGGCAGTGTGTGTCAGGTGTTCAGGAGGTGGTGTCCCGCGTGATTGGTGGTTCTATTTGAGTTGCCCTGTGGCTGCAGAAGTATAAGAAGTATAAGTATCTGTATGGTATGCGTCTGCACTCGCACAGCTATAGATAGACGACAGCCCATTCCCCCTGCGCTTGATGGTGTTTTCCCTTGCGTTCCATTGAGTGTTGCCCGTTGTGGCTGTGTGTGGTCATCAGCTGTGGTCTGTGTGTGGCTGTGTGTGGTCATCAGCTGTGCGCTGTGTGTGGTCATGTGTGGTCATCAGCTGTGCGCTGTGTGTGGCTGTGTGTGGTCATCAGCTGTGCGCTGTGTGTGGCTGTGTGTGGTCATCA